CAAACTCCCAAGCCGGACTCCCAAAGCCCATCCACATGGCTGAGCTGAAAAGAGATCTTGCCTTAGGGGGTGGTCATCTACCCCCTACCCCGGATTAACTAACTTGTTGAATCGGGTGTGAATCAACTATTGATCCCTACCCTGCTCTCTGAGTTCAGGAATTCAAGCCTAGTTTAATCAGAGGGGTTTGAGCGTTAACGAAACCAATAATAGTCAGTCAGAAATTGAGTTACATAATCAGGAGGGACTGCCTTGACATATAATCAATCTGCAGAATTTGAGAAATGGTGTATGTTTCCATTTCCTTCTTGTAGGGTCATACAATATACAGTATATGACCTATCTCCATGCAACTTCTCCTTCGAATTGAAACTCACAGGATTCGTTCATTTTCGTTGAGCTAGCACAAAATTACGTGCAACAAGTTGAGATTCAATCAACACGAACACAAAAATCACAAAGGTAAACAACAGGTAGTCAAGTTCTCTATCCGGTGTCTTTTTCTCCATGCTCTGCTTCCCCCACCCCCTGTGTAATGAATCCGGTGAGCAAACTAATCTTGTATGTTATATATAATATCTATATATATATGTGTGTGTGTGTATCTCATATATGTATATAAACAACTGTTGCTGAGTGATTTTGCACGTCTCTTATCATTGAAGCCCCTCAAAATGTGTTCTACTTTGGAACATGAATCCCATTGAAGAATCCCATAACTCAGGAGGTTCTTGGATCAATTTCCTAAGGCGGGGAATATGTAAAAAGCCCAAGGCGCCATGAAGTAGAAGGCATCGTAGCTGCCGGCAAAGCTGCCATTGAAAAAACTTCCTCACCAATTTAAAAGATTGCAAATGGATGAAGCCTGATGTCGCATAACTGTCATGTCTCCAAACAGAACGAGTGAATGGAGGACCTCCATTCAATGGCAGGCACGGTCAGGAACTGTCCATGGTAGCATAGGAGAGTTAGAGCGGCCAAGTGGCCGAGAATGAAGCGAAACACGCTGTTCGGGCCATTTACCCAGTCTCTGCGCACAGCGTATCCTCAGCGTTCCCAGGACCTTCCTTCGACCAACCTAGACCATGCAGGACCATCTGACCTAGGCGAACAATGGCCTCCGGACTCATGCATCATCGTGCACAGAGCTAGAACTATAACGCTCACACCGTGGTGTGCAGTGGAAGGCGCCACGCGCGTCGTAGATATCCTCTTCTTCCGTCCTCGGGCGGTCACTTCTGCATGGCAGCTGGACCGTGGGAGTCGAACTGGGAACTGGAGTCGAACTCCAGCTACCATAACAGCCACAACATGAAAATGAGCGGTTTTCCTTGTTTTTCCGGAGCTTCTGCATTTGAACATAATGCCGGAACCCCTTATTTACATTATATAAATTACCAGTTTTGGAGTCCCCTCACCAATCGTCCATGCGAGAAACATTCCTGAGACCATTTGGAGTGTGTTTACATGTTTGGCAAGGCCAATCCTTGACATGTCCTGGCTTCCCCGGTTTCTCCACAAACAATTGAAGCGAGTTGCAGATTAGCAGAAACTGAGTATATGGAGCGGAAGCAGCGTGCCCAAGAGATGCCGTTTTGATAGGCCTCCATCACCGCATTCCTGAAGAGAAGCCGTTTCTCAGGACAGAAAGGAAGGGCATCTCGTCGTCGAAAGCACGGACCGCGACGAACGTTCGTCCCGGTCGCGGAACGGATGTTCACGTCGAATCGGCCGAACGGGCCGGCCGTCTACGGCCAGACGGTCGACCAAAGACCCCGGCGGTGACCAGTCCACTATCGGGGCACTCGAATCGGACTGGAGAAGCTGTGGAAAACTGCTTCGAAGCACCGGACGATCGGAGACGATCGCAGCATCGGTTTAGAGGTGCTGGCAGTCTTCCCATTGCACAGTTTGGCACGGTAAACATGTGATGCCGCGATGCCGTCGTTCCAAGCAAGGCAAGTCTTGTACAAGGATGCTTCTCCAAAAGCTGGATCCTCCCGCCCACGTGCTGCGTGTCAGTTCAAACCACAGCTGTCCAACTTCTTGGATTGGGTTCACAGGGGAATGATTGCCGCCATGTCTCGTGGCATTCCTGAGATGCGCAGAATCAGGGAAACTGGTTCACATGTGGTCTTGATCGAGTCTTGAGGCTCCCAATGCTACTTGTGCAACCATACTGACGGTACTTGATTGCACAGTCTTGTGGCCCCCGACCAGGCCTAGCAGAACTGCGCTTGGTCCAAAACTACCCAAATACCCAAAACATCCCCAAAATCCATGAGTTGTCTCTGTGAAGAAGCCCCTTCAGCCATCACGTCATTCCCAGATTATTGGCCTCCATGCCCCAAAAATCAAAGCGGGCCTCCTCACTACAAAGCTTCATGTCCCACCACCCGTCAAGTTCGTCTTCGGACAATCTGGCTTGTAGAACCCGTTATCCTTGTCACCTCATGAACGGAGTGGTCCAAACGGCGGGCTTTGTTGCCATGTCACAAAGCATTCTGGTTCTCGAAGCTCTGGCTGTACACCAAAATCAGGTCCACACTTACGCGCGGCTCGGTGCAGGGCATCAGCTCTTCCCAAAGCCTCACGGTGGATGTGAAGGACGATATCCTGGAAATGCCTGGAAATGATCTACCTCCCAAAGATGTCCAAAGGCTACAAATTTAAGACCCACAGAGCAGCCAACCATGCTCAGCACTGCTACGCCTCTACGTGACGAAGTTCAGAGCTTGATCTTGAGGGGGTCAATGTTTGCTCAAACATGGTCGCAAAGATTCATCGCGCTGAATTGGTTGGGTGCTTTGCTTGAAACTAAACTCAAAAGCAACTCGCCCAACTGTGATACGAATGGCCCTGGAACGAAGTATGTACCGTTTTCCAGGCGGATTGTATGTCGTGGGACCCCTCGATCTCCACCCTCCTCCCACCCCCTTTGAGTGCGGCGAAGGCGGCTGAAATGCAGCTTGAAGCCCATCCACCTGACCGTTTTTCGTGGGGTCCCCTCTGGCCGCTGAACCGCCAGCCCATTTGGCTGTGCCCAACCCCCACCCGCAGATTTGGTGAAAAACATGTAGAAGGACGATGAAGCACAAACTGGGGTTCTCCAAATCTATGCTGCATGCACTGCCTGTTCCAGTCCGGGCATCGACTCTTTCCGTAAATGTTCTGTGATGTTCTGTGTGTGGGTGTCTTGGTGGCCAAATTACAGCCACAGGAATCCCCCGAACGCACTTGCACCCTTCTTGCTTGGCCCTGGAAAGTTCAGTGATCAAGGGCGAATGGATGGCCAATTCACGCAGGTGGTCCGTTTCACCTGCCATTTGAGCTTCAACCACTGAGATTGATATGGCTCCTCTTTACGTGGAGAAGGAGATCCTGGACCATTTGCTGTTGAAAGTTCATCCAGCACCTTAGTGGCCCAAGCCCATCTGCCGTCTGCCGTGCCTCCTTATTACTTGCAAAGGTGCGCACCACGGCCAAGTCACCTCTAGCACCTGCAGGCGCGGAGTAGCCAGCACCCCCCGTGGTTCTAGTGTTGAATACGACTCAGGGCACAGTCAGTCCGATTCGATTTCACCACATTGGACCATCACAGGAGGAATGCTACGTTGCGCAAGATGTGGCGTCTTATCTTGAAGGAAGAAGGGACCCTCCGACACCAGCAGAAAGGACCACATCGATCAAACCTCCGGTGCTTGGTAGGTGTGCACTTGGAGCTGTTGGCCAGTCCTTTAGGGCGCGCATCCCTTGAGAAACCTGCTCCGGGTGAGAACCGACATCAGTGCCTGGCCTAGCAGTAGCGAGAGGCATAGAGGCAGCACCTCACAGCCAAGAGGCAGTCCATCAATGATGCCCTTTTGGGAAAAATAGTCGGTGCCAGGTACCATATACGTTCTACACCAAATGACCGGGTCATCCCCTCCATTCATCAACCAATCGTGTAACTGGTTCGACGAACGCAAGGAATGAGTGTGGAATGAGTATGGCTTAGTATCCAAAAACATCCGCAGGGGTTCATTCCCTCATCTTCTCGAACCGAGTGGCACCCGCCCGTCGCAGCGCCACGATTCCGGGGGGGCCACCCAATCGGAGCCACCGACCCTCGCCACTCCGGAACCCCCACTCCGGCAGCAATTCCGGCAGCGAAGCTAAGTCTCCATGAGTGATTGGCTGCTACGGGATGGACAACTTGGATGTGGAACTCCCAAACGGATCTGAAACCGTGGTTTTGGGGTCGTCGGAAGTGTCGCGGCACCGAGAGTGCCTCGATTAGTACATGCTCATGTCTTCCGCTCGACCGGACCGAAGCAGTCGGACCGAAGCAGTCGTTGCAGGTCCGAGAGACGTGGACCGCGCAGTGCTTCAGCTTCGCACCTCGCAGTCGCAGCGCGCTCGGCGTCACGACGCGAGGACCGTCGCGGTGTCGTACCGCCGCGCCCGGGTGCGCCGGGAGGACCCCGCGACGTGCCCGGCCTGGATTCATCCAGTGGTCACGCCATGGCGGCGAAGGATCCGATCTGTCCAAAGAAGAAACCACTGTGAAAATGGCTATTAGTTAGTGGCTGTGTAGTATTCTCTTAGTGTGGCCCTGAAACGGGCATGGGGCGCCGTTGCAAATGGAGGCCCTCTCCCTTCTAATCCAGAAATGCTGGCGGTCGAGACCAGCGTAGCCCCTCACAACTCCCAGCACTGCAAGGTTGGAAGCACGAGACGTTTGCCGTATAGGGATACACCCGGGAAGATTAACATGGAACCTGAAAATAGACCTTTGGAAGACTATTTTCCTCTACAACCCAGTGGTGTTCAAGTTCCGTGTTAATTTTCCAGGGTGTAACAGATCTGACTTCAACCAGCAAGATCGGACAGTGTCCCGGGCCCGTTTTGTTTTTATGAAACCACTGAACGCCGGTCCGTTCGCATGACCTCCGCCCATGCTCAAGTACAAATCATCATATATAACTCATATTATATAAATCATTGATAACTCGCTTGGGGCTTGATGTTGTTGCAAGGAACGTCATTCAGTTGAACCTGTTCAGCCATGGCCATCAAGAATGATGGCAGACTCATGAACAATTCGGCAAAAATGACCTTGGCACACTCGGACCTCCCCAGCAATGCTGAATGTCGGAGCTGCCTTTTGCAAACAGACTTGCCTGTGCTTGTGGCCTATAGCGTCTTTTAAAGAGCTATGGGAAATGGGCGCAATGGGGGGCCTCCTGAATTCAAGTAGCGATCTCACCTTGAATAAGACATGTTGAGATCACATGGAAAACGGAAGTGCCAGGCACAGGCCGGATCAAAAGGCCACCGTAGCCACAGCCAGCACTACCTCATCCAAAATCCTGGCGGCCACTCTTGAATGGCCGCCCTCAAGGAAAGTGTCCAATCGATGGAGGACCAAATCCTTGGATGGTCAAAGTGGCCGGACCGACTGATCGATCAGTCGGCCCCGTGACGACCCCCCAGCCTCTTCGCGGCGACTCAGACTTGGTGGACTCGGTCGACGGGCTCGACTGACCCACAGCCACGGTCCGTCTTGACTCCCACGACCGACCAGAAGGTGCATGGCTTGGAACGGACGGGAGCCGACCTAGAAGGAAGTGATCCCATTTCGATCAAACAAACATATCTGAGACTCCTGGAGCTGATTGTTGAAACGATCCACGTCCACAATCTTGGCCAGAATGAGGTCCTGACACGGTCAGGCGAAACTTGCGAAGTGGGCTGGCAACAAAACAGCGAGAGTGAGACTGAGGAATGAAACTTTTGGAAGACAACTGACCGGTTTCAAAGTCGGTCAGGTACAGGGGCTCTTCTAATTGCCTGCCCCTTCCCCCCAAAAAATAGCATTTAAATGAGGGTCCGCTGGAAGGCTGTCCATTCATGGCCCAATTGAGTGGAAATGCCAGGGCCGGCAAATGTCCCATCCCGAATGCGCAAGCCTTCATTCCTAGATAAACTCTCCCACCAGCTTCTCAGTGGAGTAGACAGTGGCTCCACTGTTAGGATCCAAGTTCGGCTCTCACTCTGATCTCATCATTCTCATCCCCCGAACTCAGCGCGCCTTGTCCGCTGGGTAACTGGCTTCCGCCATTCGAACATCCAAGGAGAACAACCGATGCAAGCACTCATTCCGAGAGGCTGCCGAGTGGATCATGATGGTCTGACAGCGGCGGAGTTCGGGTCCGAGCTCAGACGCAGCGCGTAGCACGTTCGGCGCACCGCGCAACGGCGCACCGCGAGCGAGATGCGAGTGGCCTGGTTCAGATGCAACTCATTGGCCTCCACCAGCTCTGCGATGCACCACACGCGCTTGAGCAACGCAAAGTCGGGCTCCATGGCCACCACCTGCTCCAGGCGTACCTCGGGCTCCAGGGTGGAAGGATCACCGGGTGGCGTATTCTACAAAGGAGGGGAGGTGGATTCATCGGGGACATCAAGACCCTGATTGTATGCATAGGGGTGGGCATACACGGATCGACGCACAAATATGTGTTTATTTGTTCTGTGCGTGTGCTTCTCTTGGACATTCTTGGAGGTTGTATGAACATAAGGAGGGACAGGGTCACAAGTAAACAACATGTGTTTAGCAAAGGGGTTAACGCTGGCCAAGGTTCAAGGCCAAGTGCATGGGGTGCAATGTCCCATTGACACAATCACGGCACAAACTTGCGAAGATTGTGGGGGAACTGGGATTTGGAAGGTTTAGTGTGCGTTTTTTGCCACATACAATTCCAAGCAACCCCATCATGCGGGGGATATAGCCAAAAAAAAAAATGATATCAATAGATATTATGAATAAAACCCGAAAAAGTGCGATCTTGTTCCGTTGAGTCGCTTGCTTCTTACCCAGGTTCCAGCCATTAAAAGAACCTGTGGCCCCGCCTGTTTTGAGCTCGGAGGATCTGAAATGCCGGCCTAACTCCAGCAGCACTATAGTGGTCCAAATAGATATAAAGATATATAATTGTATATATACAGGGAGTTCAATACATTTTGAGTGGTGATCTACGAACTTCTATCTATTGGGGGGTCTATATAGTGGAAATTTGTATGGGGTCATGACGGCCATGAGGAAACTATGGGGGCCTATCATGGGTATATATTCTCACAAAACCAACCTGAAAGCTGGATTGCCCGAAAAAATGTGTGAAAGCAAGGGAGGGGAGCAAGGAAAAAAACGCCCTGAGGTGGCGCATACGGCATACGGTTTTCAAGAAAATGTATGAAAGAGAGCCGGGGACATCCATAATCATCACATGATCCCCCAAGCAAAAACATGTATACATGTATAAGAACCTTATAACAATCATTGCTGGGGAATGAAGACCCAGCAACGAGGAATGTGTAATTGTGGAGGACTACCCGACCACCCCCAAATATGCATTTATGTGACCCCCCTGATGGTGGCGCTGCAGCAAGGAAAAAAACCTGGTTGTTGGGTTCTGGGATGCTGGTGGGTTCTGAAAAGTGGAGAATGATGAGAATGAAGAGTGACAGCATGACAGCAAACATCCAGCCAAGCTGCAGTGGTGCTCATGCGGCGCAAGTGACGTTTTAGATATGCCATCATGTCATCAAACTTGTTCATTTCCTTATTCGAGTCGCACATTTGTGGTTCAGGTGCAAGCTAGGCCCGGCTGAAAGCTGTTGATCTTTCTGTTGCAGGATTGGCAGCCCTCACTATCACCATTCTAGTCTAGTGTTGAGGGCTTAAATTTCATCTGGACGTTTTGATTTTCCCTCGTCTCTCACGCAGCTCCGCGTCACTCAGGTCTCCGTTGAAATGCTTCTCCGTGGCGCAGTCGCACGGCACGATGCGATAGCCCATGGAGTCGACGACCGGTGGAGTCGCACAGATGCCGCGATGCTGGTTCACTGAAAAGGCGCACACCCAGTAAGGAGTATCCAAGCTCTCGTTGCGCGTCAGCGCCTGGAAGGCTTCCGCGAGCTTCGCTCTGGGCGGTGGTCAGAGAGGAAACAGTGCAGATCCCCCGTCTGGGCCCTGGTTACAAGCATTGGAAGATCATGGAATCGTAGGCGAGTTAAGATCCATGAGTGCCTTGCCTCACACAACTCCTGAAATTGGTGCTTTTTCAGTAGCTCCACTACGCCATCATAGCGTTCAGCTTGCAAAGCATCACCGAGAATGGCACCAATCAAATAGCCTTGCGAGCTGTTTGATGCTAACATCAGAGACCCCACAGACCCTCCCTTCCCTATTCTTGGGGGCTAAGCATAGCTAGGCTGGGAGCTGACTGATCAAGTGGGATCGGGGATGAGTCCATGGCACCAACCATGTCAGCCATGAAACCTCTTGACCAGGCTCCACGTGACGAGCCCCGTGACGACCCGACCGGAGAAAAACACCTGAGTCGGAACCCAGCGTGGGTGAACCACTCTGGCCCAATGAACACATGTACATGTATGTGGCATGTAGTTATAAATATATATATACATATATGATGTTAAAAATATATATGTGTATGTATATATATTTATATATATTGTGTGATGTGTGATGTGTGTATGTGTGTGTGTGCATGTGTGTGTGAAAACTGCTATTTAAAACTGTCCGTCTGCTTTTTGACTTCAGAGCCCGGGGGGAGTGATCCTTTCAGCAGTCACTTGTCACTGCCTAACAAAACACTGCGTTTGCGCCTGATGTGGGGTGTATTGCAATAGGGGGCCTCCCAAAGACCCCGGGAAGAAATTGACCAAAACCCATTTGGGCCACAGGGTCTTGCTGTTAGAATACAAACCCATACGGCACGAGGCTAAACTAAGAACCTCACCATGACTGACATGAAGGTGTTGTAGTATGTTGTAGTCTGGTGTTGACGGTGTTGCCACGTTAGTCCCACGTCCCACGTAGTTTTTCACCAGGTCGTGGTCTTGGGAAGTCCAGGGCTTCGACAGCCATATATACCTCAAAACCCTCAGGAGAGCAATCATTATCTGCCTCAGGCGAGCCAGTCTGTACAGCGTTATATATTCAATACCAAGCGGCTGAACTTGTTGCCCCAGCTGTGCGTCACCATCTTCTCTGCTGGACAAGGACGACCCATGTTCACGCAAGAAGCATACGAAAGGCCTCACAACGACGTGGAGCTGGGCAGTGCGCTTTGCAGCGGCTGTCGTCGCGTCGCGTCGAGCAGCAATCCACACGCTGCTGCGACACGCGATTCGATGCCCCTTCGCATCCAAACAACACGGTGGGGATGCGATGGAGGCTTCATGTTATCCATGCATTCGAAGAAGCAAATGGTGTGTAAATGTTTGAAAACCTCAGATGCCATCCACTTGCGTGTTCGGCTTTGGCTAGAGCGGCTAGATGGCATCTGCGATGTCACAAACTGATGGCCGAAGTCAAAAACGTTCGTTCCGAAGTCCCGGGGAACGACACAAAGTCCAACGACTTGAAAGGAAAACCACCGAAGTGAAAGGAAACCGACTTCACCTCAGACTTCACCGAAAAGAACCCATGGTCTTAGACTCCCAGCACAAAGAGGTTCCATCCCTGGGTCCCTGGGTTGCATGTCCATCGATTCACGTACTTTGACTCTCTCCTCCTGGCTCATGCGAAGCAACCACCGCTGTTTGCTTGCCATTCGTCCCCCAAATGGAAAGATCCCCCTGTTCCGGGCCGTTGGCTCGCCCTTGCCACTCAGTATCACTCAGTTCTCATTCTGCACAACCGGATGTTCACCGTCCTCGCTTCAAAAAACCCTCCTGGTTTCTACACGTTGCGTCCGAGCGCCCCCACTGATCCGTTCAGTCCGAGCGCTCCCAACGTGACCGACGCGTCCCCACCAACAGCCGAACCGTCACCGAACCTGAGACGGTGGGCGCTTTCTCCTCAAAGGCCCCTCGAGAGGCTTCCAAAGGCCAGAGTCTGGGAGAGGGAATCACCACCAGCTTCTCCGACAAATCTGCCGCGAAAGCGTCCGGTTTTGACGCGCGTGTTACAAAACGCGCGAGGCTGTGTCCAATGTGTTCGAACGAGTGTACATACAGCAGGGTGTCACAAAAAAGGCACTAGCCACAGCTGCCCGCCCGTCCGGCCTAGTGAGTCTGCCCCGTTGCTGGGAAGGGCCTCTGAGGCCTCCGCATCTCTTATGTGTAACACCCTTTTCGACGGCTTGCGCTCCGACACCTTCTCCCGAAAGTTGTCCAGGGCAGCCACCCCATCAGCATTACAGTCATACGGTCTTATGGAGACTCGCAACGAAGCATCATTGACTCCTTGTAGCCTCAGGTCTCCTTCAAAGCCACACCAAAAGGCCTGAGGCTTCGTGCATATCAAGTTGACTTGCCTCTTGTGTCCTGGTGCCTCTCAAAAGCCAACATTGTGGAGACCCAGTGGGGATGTTCCATTCGCGGTCGTTCATGACCCCCTGATCAGGGCCCGGTCCCATTCCCCAAGATGTTGGAACAGGATCCAAAAAACACTTTGGGACAGGATGGGACAGGGTATCTGTTGTGGCCTCGGTCCCAGAGGCACACGTTGCTCAGTCAAGTGGCCGGACTCGGCAGCAGCACTTCCCCCAGGGCATCATCCTGAGGGGACTCGGGCTCTTGATGCAAAAGGACGTTCCCTGAAAATCAGCGATCAAACGTTGCTTGAATCCAGAAAAATGGCCTCCTCCATGAGAATCAGTATCAGCATCGAAATTCTGTACTGTACCCTAAGATCCGCTCGGCACCGCTATATTTCTTGCCAAGTGCAGCACCTTTGCCTTTCTTTTGTTTGTTTCACTATGCCTGTCCTTGCTCAGTGCATCTTCGTCCCACACGCTGAAGTGAATGGCATCCTCTTCCAAGACATATTGCATCAAGAATGCCTTGCCAGGCTGCCAAGAAGCCCATAGTCGAGGAAATTGTTATTTCCTACTCCTTGCCTCTGCGCTAGCGAATTGATCGATTGGCCTCAGAAACCTCACAAGTGATATCCTGTGAAACAGTTCAGCGCAACCTGACATTAATATACATTAATATATAAATAACAAAGCTCGGACTGGCAGCAAGCAAATCATGCGCAGGCATGCAGAAAAGCAGAACAGTTAGCCCCTGCCTCATTCCAGCTGGGATTGCAATTTCCCTTTATCGTCCTGGTTCGCCCCATGCCCTTCCAGGGCTGCCACTTCCGCTTGGATTCGCTGCTCCTCGACACATTCACCACCTGAGCGGCGAGCGTACAGGTCTTGGATGAATTCGTGAGCTTTCACAAGTCCTTAAGGAGAACTCAACCAGAAGACTACTATCGGAAAAACTGACTTGAGTAAGGGGAGAAACTACACCTCCCACCAATTGACAAGCCAAGAGCCGGTCTCCACATGGTTCTTGAAGCCCGGAGTTCCAAAAACCTGCCGAGCCACGCAATAGGGATCAGAGCTAAAGATGTCCCTTGCAGCAAGCTTGGCCGCATTGTGGATGACGACCATGAAGGATCGGGATGTCCTGCCGCTGTGCAGCAGGTGGTGGGCTGCAAGTGGCACCCCGTGCCATAATATAAGATAATGATATATATATATATATGTGTGTGTGAATACATGCATATGTACACGTTACACGTTCATATTATGTATAACCCACTTAAAGATCCACACGTTGGCCGGATTCAAGAAATGCCCGTGAGAGTGCCTTATGTTGCTGTTATATAGTATATAGATCTACGAATTTTGCATTCCAAAGATCGCCAAAGGTTATATACATATATACACCCCCAAGAAAAATCCAACAAAAGCTCTTATGCACACCTGGCCTGTTTGGGGCAATTCAATTCTTCCAGGAAGTCCTGGAGCACCTTCCCATCAAGACATTCTATATCACAAACTGCCCTCTATGGGTCATACAAGAACTCATCAAAATCCCACAAGAACACAGCCAACACTGATAGATAGATGTCTGAAAAGTGTGGAGTCTTGAGGCAGGGGAGGGGGCGCCCATGTGTACCAGACCGTGTGTGTGTGTGTGTGCGGGCACCTTGGAGTCAAAGGACGCAACTTTAGTTGTAAATTCACGGGTTGTCACTGCTGAAACTTGCAGTGTGCAAGCGTTTTTGGCAACGTTAACGTTGACCGTTGAGTTTCTGTCTTTGTGTAAAGTGCGTCCCGTGAAGTTCGGATCTGTCTTTGGTTTTGTTTCTTCTATTCTTGCAGGAGGGTTCGACATGCTTGTGCGACCGCACTCAAGAAAGCTGCCAGAATCATGGGATGCAGAGCTTGACACAGCTTGATCAACTCGGCATACCACCAGAAGTTGTGATTGTTGCAACCCAAATATGCATCCGAGGAGAAGGTATTCAGACTGCATGATGAACAAGGTCCGCAAACGTGCTCTCCAAGGTTTCAACCGGTTTACATGACATAACTTGGAGAAGCGTTTGATGTTGAGACTTGTGGGAAATGTCCAGGGTCTAATGGTCATACACCGCTGCGCTATACCTGGTGTCTTTGGAGTCTTTGGTTTCTTTTGCCAAGGTTTCGTCGAGGCACGGGTGTTCAATCTAAAAGTGTCTCTCTCTCTCTCTCTCTCTCGCTCTCTCTCTCTCTCTCTCTCTCTGTTGTGTGTGTGTGTGTGGGTATGTGTGGGGGAGGCGGTGAGGGAAAGGTTGATATGAAGTTTACCCTCGCAACCAATAAGAACAAAGAAACACTCTGGGGAAACCCAGCTGCCCATCTTGAAGCAGGCTGCCAAATCCGGTGAACCTTTCTTGTAATGATTGTAGTGGTCTTGGAGCAGCTACTGCCCTTTTGGCATTTTCCGGCATGACAGACTCTTCCACTGGCATCGCCTGATAGCAGGGCTTCTCTCGAGGCGGAGCCCGCCCCGGGTGCTACGGAACTCCTGGTTGCTCCTGGTTGCGTGCTCCAAACCATCAGCTAGCCTAGCTAGCAAGCGGTATCCAGTATCCCGCTTCAAGCGCGGAGCCGTTCGCAGCTACAGGGAGTTCCCTAAACACTGCCAACTCAACCCTTTTCAAACTACTCCAGTCCTGAGCTTCAAGGAAGAAGGAATGATCGCTTGGCGTACCACATCATGAGTGGTCGAGCGGTCCGGGTCAAAGTGAGGCATCAAAGTCCCCTGAGACGGGCAGAGATCAAAGCACTGCTTGGTTTGGAAAAACCTCAGGAAAGACTGTGGGAAAATCCTGAGCAATCCATGCCTTTTGCCCACCTCACACGCACAAATGAAAAATGGGAGAATGAAGGGGCCACTCTGTCTCTTCCAGCAGTGGGAGACAAGGCTCCTCAGAATGCACTTTACATTTCGAATGATCTGCACTAGGGGATGTATCTACCAATGCCTTGACTCAGTAGTGAAGAAATGCGCAAAGGCTTATAACAATCGCACATCTTCACACCCATTGGCTGCCCCACCCTGCCGTTTTCCTGCGCCCCGTCGCCTCAATGAGATCAGCATAAAAACCCACCAGCTGACGAATGGTGATGCCTCGATTCGCCAACTCCTCCACCTTCTTCATCCAAACGGCTGAAGCTGAGGTCGACTGTGGCATCGTAGCCTCATGAGATGCCAGATCCATATCAAGACCAAACCTCGGGGGCGCCATTGGGGCTCTGTATCGATTCATCTAAGGAGCTGAAGCCGTTTTCGAGGAGCTGAATCCGTTTCCCCTCCAATGGACTTCGAAAGGAGAGTGGTGGAACTCGCTGGAACTAGGATGTTATTGAACTGGCACGTGTCAGGGCAGACCAAGCATCACTCGAGTCACCACGTCACTAAGAAAGCTACGAGGAATGCGGTCTCCAGCAATCACACTGGCAAGGATTTTCTGATAAAGCTGAGTCCACTAAGCTCCATTAGAAAGCTGGGTGAAGCAATCACTACTTATGATATGTTTTATATATGTTATATAGTTACAATATGTTTTAGACCCACAAACCCCCCCCAAAAAAAAAAGCTCCAAGGGTAGTGATGGCAAAGCTGAGCATCTGCTTCGGAGGCTTTGATGCGAAGGAGGGCTGAGTCAAAGCTGCCAGCTCTGTCCCAATGCTTGAAAACATGCACGCAAGCAATGGGACGATGAGCATCTTGCGCGCTAGGACCACCAAAAATGAAATCATCCATTTCCATTCGTCCGCTTCGCGGAGATTGGCCAGAAATGCCATGATGAGCAGCAATTGGAGACTGGAGATCGCCACCTGAACCGGACCAATGGACTACTATGGACTCCATGACTTCATGATTTTCACGCAAAGGGACCAAGTTCCTGCAGTTTCCAGCCAGGTACGGTGAAATGAAGCCAGCGAAGAGTAAGGGCCGCCAGGGTCTACCCCAAATCTCCCTTTCCAGGGCGGGCCAGGTTTAACCTGATTCATACTGAAAGGAAAGCAGGAACCCTGACCTTTCCGACTTTCACCAAGAGGCTCCCAATACCCAGAATCCAACGTCTTTGCAGCGCCGCACGCGCAGCTGCCAGTTCCGCAGCGACGGACGGTGTTGCACGAAGCCGCGGTATGCAAAATATGTGATCAAACTTCGAGGGATCAAGTTCAAGCAAATGGAAGCTATGGCCACGAAGGCATACCACAGAAAAGTACCTGGCAGGCTCCACGAACTGATCTTCCGGGCAGAACGAGATCGAGAGGTACACTTTTTGTTTGACTCGTTCGTTGGTAAGAACATGAGTGAACTCTCAATCCATGTTCCACTCTTCCACTCTACTCTGCCTCAAGTTGAACCCATCACTTAGCCCCTTTGAACACCACCGTGCCATGCACCGTGCCAAGCTCCGCAAGCTCCGTTTTCTCGTGAATCGCCCCTTTAGATCACCACCCAGAGAGAAAAAACGAACAGTTCAAGCCAACACAAGAAGAACACCCGCCCTCAGTCCAATTGGACCTCCCGGAACCCGCCGTCAGCCTCCCCGCCCCCGCCTTGCTGCACCGGACAGTCCGAAGCCTTGCGCGCGGCCACTGCCGAGCCATCCACGGAAAAGAACAGCGCCACGAAGGCGAGCGAGCCTCAGCGCCACAAAGGCGAGCTCGTGTGGCGCGCTCGTGTGGCGGTGAAGTGGCGGCGACGGCGGTGCACGACCGAGCCAGCGTTCGCGCAGTGGGAAGCAGTCGGAAGTCTAGGTAACCCAACGACACAGTCGGAGCCTCTTGAGACAGTCTACTGTATGCTCATTTGGGTGGAGATTCAGTAGAGTCTTCCGTGTCCAGTTCGAGTTACACTCTGAGTCACTAACATGGAAGTGGAAAATGGGCGTACAGGATGACACAGGTGTGTAATCTCAGGGGTGTCATATGATAAATCAAGAGTCTAGACATCTAGTTGACAGCTTGCCCCTCCCATCCCCCGTCAGATCGCCAGAAACCGAAACCGCTGTGCGGTTGACCCCCTGTCCCCGTGGTCACCGTCGACGGTGCCGGATTTCGAAGACGAGTCCTCGGTGTTCGGTGTATTTCGGTGTTTGACGAGTCCAACTGCGCTGGATGATGGTTCTTTCATGCTGGCTCCAAAAGAACCTCGTTCTTGAGTCTTGATCCATGGCTTTCCAGGGAAAGGCCTGATCAAGCTGCTTGAAGTGCTCGAGACGTTGGGGACATCTCAACTTGGGAGTTTGCTGCCATACTTCCTTCGCGGCCAGATGGCGGTCCCCAAGTGGAGCCTTCTCGATCAAGATGGTCTTGGTTTTATCAGTTTTATCTGTCTATAAATATAAATATATATATATATACATATAAGTTATAAGGATTGACATAGTGACTTAGTGGATCATCCTCCAACCCGCCCAAGGAATCCCACCAAAAATCCGGCTCCAATTCTTCCGCGCCTTCGCGTTACGCCCAGCGCGGACCAAATCATACCAAACACAAACATCTCACACCCCGTCGCTGGGAAGTCCAGAAGCACAGAAGTGGCCCACTTCCCGACCCACATCAAACCACCAAAACGAGGCCCCCCCACCCAATCCCACCGATCGGTTTTTCCCAGGTACCTAGAATGCAATCGGCAATAATCTTCGCCCGCTTGGCCGAGGCGATATGCAAGTTCCACTGCCACAGCTCGCCCACAGGGTGGGACGACAGTGTGGTGGACAGAAGCCGCCGCCAGCGGGAGCTGTGAATGCTCCGAAACGCCTGAAAAAGGCGGCGGTGCGGCTGTTCGGCCGGTGCGGACTCGGAGCGCCAAAGGTATCTCGTAGTAACAAGTGCATCGCTACTAGTAACAAGTGCCTTACTAGTAGTAACAAGGTTCGCTACGAACGGAACAAGTGCATCCTCAAGGTGTCAAAAGAGGTCGACGCCGGAGCCCCGGAGTGGACGACGGAAGCCTATTCACCAAGCAATGAGACGAGCGCCGTCCTAACTGGCCGGTTTCATCACTGGTTTCACCATGTCTCACCCAGAACTGGTGAATCAAACCCTGAACCTCGAAGCATAGTCCAACCCTCTGATTCGCGTTTCACAGACCACCCCGTCCAGTCCTCCGCACCTTGGGGAGAGTCTCTTGTAGTTCCATGTGTAAGGACTTGAGCTTCGGGGATTTCTGCACGGCCAAGCTGCCCTGCACCCAACCCTGAGGGCCCCAAATGTGGCCCATCATGAAAGCTGGGTGCAGCTTCTGCTCAAAGGCCACTTCCCTCAAGGTGTTCTGGCAAAGAACCAGCTCCTCAACACCCGAGTCGACGACGCCCCGAAAGGTACGCCGAACGCGTCTGGCGTCTCGAAAGCTTCGACCGAACCACACGCTCCCAAAAAACCACCTGCACGACCGCTCTCCCTCTTTTTTTTCCTCTTTCTTCGCGCCATAGGCTCTTGCCCGCGACTGGTGGCGTGCACCTAATTAAAATTCATCCATGGAAATCGGGCCCCATTGACGCGGTCTCATCAAAACTCCGCGTCAGCTCACTTACTGCCTGGAGAAATTCATGGGGCATCACCGTGGCCTTTTTGGCCTTCCAGGATCACACGACAAATGGCTTTGCAAAAGTCAGCTGGGTACTGCTTAAGCTCAGAAGTGCGCCAGCTGCCATCTTCATGCCGTCCGATGGCTGCATACTTCGGAAGTGCAGTTGTCCGCAGCGAATGTAACAAAGCGTCATTGTCGGTCGCACCATTTGCAATCAGGAGGCTGGTGGGCTTGCAAGCCTTCCCACCGTAGTGCCCTTGCATAATGGTAACTTTCTGACAGTTGCGAAAGCGGCATAGATACCGAGTAATCTCAAGTCGCCAGATGCTTGGGCTATTCTGGTGAGTATCCCCATCAGCTGGGTGCTCCAGCACACCTGTTGCACCAGATAGCAGAGAAAGGAGCATCAACCGGAACGAAATGCCCAACAGCATACTACCAACTGTCACTTGTCTGTGTTCCTTGTACGTGAGGTTGCGCAAACCATATGGGAACCCTCGGCGTCTCACTGGGCGGGGTCCGCCCTGCACGTGGTTCTCACGTGCACGGGACCACGTTTCACAGGGTGGTCCCGCCACCCAAGCTCTCAGGATTCCAATGCGCAGTGCCTCAGTAAAAAAGTGGAATGTAGTGGGGTTGTTGAGGTCTCCCCATTCACGATCGAAAATGATGTCAATGGACAATGCCATCCATGCATGCTCTTCCATGACGTGTTGGATGTCAAAAGGCCTTCGTGTGCCTGAAAAGAGATGCGCCATGACCTTAGGACGATAGGCCATGCGGGCTGGGACATCATATCGAATTTCATCTAATTTATCGGATTGTCGTTGGAAAAACACCATCGCTGTGTCTTCCTTGCGCGTGCAAGACTTGAGACCTGTCAGGAACCATTCACTGCTAGCCGAGGAAGTGAAAACACGAAAAACCATAAGATCGTGGAGTGTCGCATCTTCTTCTTCAGTTATACATCGTTGGCTCCATTCAGCGAAAAGGGCCAGGATCTCTTTGTGGTAGAGACATGCGCTCAGAGTGGCCTGCCTCAAACGTTCCACAAGGGCGCCCGTCCCTCGATAACTCGAAAAAGCAGCCTGCCACTTTTCAAGCAATTCATCTTGCCACTGTTGGATCTGTGTCACAATGACTGCAATTGGCCCATCAGGGATTCTGGGTCCTTCGGCTTGCATACAAGGGTCTGGCAGCTCTGGGCAACTGGCGTTCTCTGCGGCACTATTCACGCCAGGTTGCCGAGTCACAAAAGCTCCACGGGCAGTATAAAAGGCCAAACAATCATGACCTCGGTTAACGTGATTGAGAAGCCCAGTATGCCGTGAAAACACTTTTAAACATGCTTCACATGTGGTGCCAATTACGAAATCTCGTGCTGGGGTAGCACGGTCGTGCTTTTTAAAGGCGTGTACTGCGCATGCAGCTGCTCCTGAGAAGGTTCGGCGGCAGGCCAAACAGTAATGGTCTTCAGCAGTAGAAACAACTTCCTGGCCAGTGATCAGGCCAGCTTGCAGGATGTCCTGATAGATCACGCTGTGCCATCCATACCATTCAAATCTTCTCAAGGCAAAGGCTTTGCTTCTCGCAATGGCTCTGCGGATTGCTGCTTTCCATCGCTTCCCTGCAGTTTGCAGGCATTCACAGAAATCGGACCATTCTGATCTAAAATCAGGAAGTTCGAACTCTGGGCAATACATCTGCATCCATGCCAGATCTTCTTCAACTAGTGTCCACCAGCTGTGTTCCGTGTTGATGAGGGACCAAGTATGGTCCTCACCATGCTGGATCAGGTGGCACAGGTATCGCAATCTTGCAACCCGTAAAGTCTCACATGCTGGCAGAAGCTGGAAATCGTGGATAATGCGGTCGAGAGGCCATTCAATCGCTTTTTTCCCATAGTGCATCACAGCCAGGCGCTTGAACAAGCGTGCAAACCCTGCATCGAGTTGCTGCATTTGTCTTTTGGTTGGCGGTTGCCATATAGCACAATTGAAAACGATGGTTGACAACACCAGCGACTCGAAGAACTGGCGTTTCCTCTCGACTGTCATAGCCCGGTTGCAGAAAATCTGTGACCGGTACTGTGTCATAATGTTGTGCGCAGCAGCAAATTTGGTTCGGAGCTCTTTTCGCATCCCACATTTGACTTCAAGCCAGGAACCCAGGTGTTTATATGTGCCCACAACACGAAGTGGTCCCTCCACATAGCTTGATGTGGTGGAGATCGCATAGTCCTTGTGGGCTATCGCCTTGCGTTGCACCGTGGATCCACTTCCTCTACAGTCAAGGATGATGTCTGACTTGCCCTTTGAGAGATTCGGCATGAGGCCAGCCACTGCTAATCGGTCAAAAACAAGCCCCGCAATACGGCCAGCCATTGTAACAAGGGACTCAGCCGTCGCAGCACTGAACGAAATTGCAACATCATCCGCCCAGATCGGTGCAAGTAGACCCATCCGTTCAGACTTGCTTTCATGTGCATAAGGGCTAGTTTCCACTCGACCGTCACCTCTGGGTAATCCGTCTCAATGGTAGTGAAGACAGGTCGGAGGATTCTGTTAAGCGCAAAGCCAAAGGTCAAATCAGCGAACGTATCGCCAGGGCGCGAGCCTCGTCGACTCTGAGTCAATGTTGTTGAACCATTGACTCTGAACCATGTGGCTTCGTAAAATGACTGGAACATCGCTTTGACAAAGGCCGGCGCGTCGGAGTTCTGGATCGCAGGTCCTGGGTTCATCATCTCTTCAAACTCATCATACGCAGCTGGCGGCAGTCCAAGACTTTGGAAGAGCTCTGGAACCGTCCTAGTGTCAAGTTCTGCAGCTACCATGTGTCGTCGGAGGAGGCGGTAGAATGCATTACTGACATCGATGAAAAGTACTCCCTAACTTCGTGCTCGCTTTGCCGCAATCTGATGGTATAATCGGATGACATGGGCAGCTTGGGTTATAGAGAAACCTGGAATTCCCCCAATCTGCATTGGGAGCCTCACGGTCTTGAACTCCTGGACAAGTTCTTTCCGAAAGCGACCTTTGTGGAGCGAAATTGATGTTCAATCTGCCAAAAACTGGGTAGATCATCCCATTCTGGTCTCAGCTTCGGGATTCGTGCCAAAGAATCACATCGTGCCATAAGCTGAGTTGGTGTCTGATCAATCCCATCTTCCTGCTGAGCAAAGAATGTTCTCCATCGCTCTGCGAGCTTGTCGGTCTCGAAAATTGGTTCACCCAATTCGTCTTCCACAATAGGCAACGGCTGGAAAGGGCCTGGTTTCTTCCTACTCCTCACTCCAGAGTTGCGCATAGCCTGGTAGAAGTCACTTTGCGACATCTGCGGTGCATCTTTTGCGATCTTCTCCAACCAGGCGGTCCTATCAGCTCGCAGGGCCCGTTTGAAGTCTTTTGCCTCTTGGTGGCTCTTTGCTTGCAACGATGTGGCCTTTGCCAAATGCCGGATACCTTCCATAAAAAGCTGTGAAGGAAGCAAGACCTCCTTGTAGCACCACACATGCAGTATTTTACGGACTGTCAGGGCGGCAATACAATCACGTACCTGCTGCAGCGTTGACCTGGTTTGCATGCGTGCAGTACGCAGTGTCCACGTTTCATCACTGATATAGCTTTTCCTGGGCCCACGTTTACCAGCTGGGAAGGCTTTGGCCAGGCTTTTGGTCACTTGCTCAGAGAGCGTCGTGGCATGTTTTTCAATGTCCTCCTCCCAAGAATGACCCGGAATGTCCCGTAAGGCCTCATCAATTTCAGCAGTAGTAGCTTTTTGCAAAGACCTCCGGTCAAAGCTGCATCTTGGTCTTTTGTAGACGCAGCGGATCTTGGGCAATAGTATCTTCATCATCAGGGGTCGGTGATCCGTAGCTCGAAGTCCTGTATCAAGGGAATCAATGACCCATGTCTCAACTTTCACCGGTTGTGGCTCTCGCGGAATCATCAGATAGTCGCATCTTGCCTGAGCCCCATTAGCGTGGCTGATCCAGGTCCATGATTCCCCTTGATGTACTCCCTCAAATGTACTCGGAAGATAGCAATCAATTCGAGCAAGTAATCGAAGGAAGCATCTCCCGGCCAGATTCTGGGACTCCTCCACTCCCTCGCATCCTACATAAGGCAAGGAGGCGTCACAGAAGTGAGCATTGGCGTCAACACCCATGATGTAGTATTGTACCGTGTGTCTGTACTTCTCGATCAGGTCACCAAGTCGTTGCCAGAAAGCTTTTATCCTCGTAGGCTCTGCTCCTGTGTGTGGAGCATGTCCATTGATCAAAAGCACACTGGTTCCTCTGTAACTTGCCTTCAGAAGGAGGAGCTCTGGTTCAGCAACAAGAGCATGGATCGAACGTCGATCGAAGAGTTGCTCTCCTGATCGTCTCCGCGAACGAAGCAGCCAAGTCTCAACCCCACCTTGTCCCTGGTCAGCCGCCGCAGTGGCTCGGTAATGTGTGTCAGACTGGGCCAGTTGTGTTGTCTTTGTACGGCTTTCCTGCAAGAACATCACATCAATGTCATGCCACAATACTTGCTCACGTAGGAATCCAATAGTCATGCCTCCTTTCTTTGAGTCAAGAGTGTTGACATTGTATGTTGCAACTGTCAGCTCAGTGGGCTTCATGATCACTTGGGATCCTCTATCATCAAGCAATGTTGGGGGCAGTCGATGTGAAGTTCCGACCTCTTGTTGCAGATTTCCCGAGTGGATGGCTGAACCATCCCATCGGGGGAGTGTCGTGCTTGTTTGGTCAG